GGGGTGTGTCTTTTGGAGAGGTGGAGCACAAAGTAGGAGAGGAGCACCGAGGAGAGCTGTCCAGGGCCACTTGGAGAGAAGGCGGGCTGGAGACACAGGTTCAGGAGTCCTGAAGCTGCAGGTGGAAACTGAAGCTGTGGTCACAGGTGGTGAAAGTGGAAGAGGCTTTCTCTAATGGCCAGTGATGATGAGCTTTTTTTCATATGTTTGTTGGCCACATAAATGTCTTCTTTTGAGAAGTGTCTGTTCATATCCTTCACCCACTTTTTGATGGGATTCTTTTTTTTTCTTGTAAACTTGTTTAAGTTCTTTGTGGATTCTGGATACTAGCCCTTTGTCAGATGGGTAGTTTGCAAAAATTTTCTCCCGTTCTGTGGGTTGCCTGTTCACGCTGATGATAGTTTCTTTTGCTGTGCAGAAGCTCTTTAGTTTAATTAGATCCCATTTGGCAATTTTGGTTTTTGTTGCCATTGCTAATGATAGATTGGATAAAGAAAATGTGGCACATATACATCATGAAATACTATGCAGCCATAAAAAGGATGAGTTCATGTCCTTGGCAGGGGCATGGATGAAGCTGGAAACCATCATTCTCAGCAAACTAACACAAGAGCAGAAAACCAAACACCACATGTTCTCACTCATAAGTGGGACTTGAACAATGAGAACACACGGACACAGGGAGCGGAACATCACACTCTGGGGCCTCTCAGGGTGTGGGGGCATAGGGGAGGGATAGCATTAGGGGAAATACCAAATGTAGATGATGGGTTGATTGGTGCAGCAAACCACCATGGCACATATATACCTATACAAACTTGCATGTTCTGCACATGTATCCCAGAACTTAAAGTATAATTTTAAAACATTTATTAATTTTAAAAAAAAAGAAAGTGGAGGAGGCTGAGGACAGAACTGGAGGCTCAATGCCATGAGGGGAGGTGAAGAGAAACACCCAGACAGACCAGCACCAAGGAAAGAACATCATTTAAAAGGGGAAACGTGTTCAATGATGTCAAATCTTGCAGAGATGTCAAGTAAAGTCAGACTCAAAGTGGTCCACTGGGTTTAGGTAGAAGGATTTAGAAGAACGGATGTCAGGAAGGCCCCTTTAGTGAGGAAGAGAAAACAAGCCCAAGACTGTCACTAGTGAAAACAGAGGAACTGGAAGTGATAAATATGGACAACTTGGCTATGAAGGTGGGAGAGAACCAGGGCCATAGCTGAAGGGGAAAGCAGAGTTCAGGGAGGACTTTTAAAAGCAATGACACAGGCTGAGGTGGGAGGATCGCTTGAGGCCAGGAGTTCGAGACTGCTCTGGGCGACAGAGTAGGATGCTCCATTTCTACAAAAAGTTAAAAAAGTAGCCAGGCATGGTGGCATGTGCCTGTAATCCCAGCTATTTATGAGGCTAAGACAGGAGGATGCCTTGAGCCCAGGAGTTTGAAGTTGCAGTGAGCTATGACAGTGCAGCTGCACTACAGCCTGGCCAGCAAAGTGGCCAGGCTGAACACAAAGTATATAATAATAATAATAATAATAATAATAATAATAATAATAGATGGTTATTATATAGTATATGCCAGTGTCATGGGCTGAATATTTATGTTGTCCTAAAATCTTTACGTGAAGCCCTAACCCCCAGTGTAGCTATATTTGGAGATGGGGTTCCTAAAGATGTAATTATGATTAAAGGGGGTCATAAGGTTGAGGGCCTGATCCGACAGGATTAGTGTCCTCACAAGTAGAGACACCAGAAATCTCTCCTTTCCCCCGACCGGATGAAGGCCGTGTGAGCTGATGACTCGGTCCGCTGGGGAAAAACCTGACTTCAACGTCTTCACAGCAAGGCGTGACTGCTGGTAGCAAGTCAGGAGAGAGGTCATTTATGGAGAAAAGTCCCATCGATGGCAAGACAGGATGGCATTGAGTGACAGTTGGAGGGACTCACCTGGGCACGAGAGGAGACATTTTCTCTACTGTCGCAAGGATGAGAGAAGGAGAAGGGGATGAGCTGAAATGCAAAAGGCATCCGCAGAAGTGGAGAGGGGAAGTTGAGGGCTCCTGCTTTCTTTGTGGAAGAGGTGGGGAGACTGGCTACTGAGGTTAACAGCAGGGTTTAAGATTGGGGCTCAGAAGAGGGACAGGCAATAAAACCAGAGACTTTGAAAAACGTGGGGAAGTTTGAAACATCTGCTGTGTATAAATTGCAGCAGCCCGCTGTTTCTAGACTAGGGCCCATTCAGTGTAGCATTGCAGAAGATGATCTGCTCTCATTTTAATTAGAAAAGTAGGAGAACAGGAGGGCGAGCTTGCCAGGGAACTACAGAAGGCTGCCTGACAGTAACAAGGGTCTAGATGGCACTGGTGACCCTGAGTTTGCAGTGGCACCGTCTGCAGCATGTGTGGTTTTTACGGCCATGCTCAACAGCTGGTTGATTGGTGTGGAGTAAGTAAGCAGTTGAGTTCATCCAAGGTTTGGCTTTGGCTGGGCAATGCATTGAAAGAACAAAGGGCAAGGAGGTTGAGCACATTGGCAAGAGGAAGGTGAAGTGGGTAAGCTCAGGGGTTTTAGTACGCAGAGAGAGAAGTGGGCATGTGAGAAGGATGTGGCTATTTCTGCTGAAGAGATCTGCTCATGCCCCTTGCTTTCTGGTGACCAGAGAGCATAGCCGTTGCTGCCTCCTGGAAGAACAGATGCTGCCAGATGTGGCATACTAATGAGCTGCAGGCTGACAGTCTCCCCAGCTGGTATCCCTCCTCTGCAGTGGTCCTGACGGGTCCCATCTGGGCAATTCGGCAATTTATGCTCAGCGCTGCCCCAACTCTCAGAGCATGCTCTGGGGACACGAACCCCTGTGAAAGGATGAGTTTGGTACCAGCTGCCTTCCTAGTGGCGTGGCGTGTTGGATCTTCCTGCTGGAACACTTGCCACAAGAAGCCGCAGCCCCTATACCCAGCCATCCACCTTGATGCCCTACCCCTGCTCCATCCCACAACCCAAGGGCCTTGGTGTTCGTATATATCACTCTTGAGCCCTCAGGTTCACCTTCACCCATGGCCTTTTATGAATATCTGCTTCCAGGCCCCGTGTCAGGAAGAAGGACTTAAGGAGAAGCCCACAAAGACCTGGAAGTAGGTTTGGAATCATTTAGACCGGAAGTCCCAGTGTCCTGGTCATTAGCACGGGGTCTAGAAAGGGAGACGGGGGTCTCAGGTGGGCGTGGCCTCTTGGTGCCACAGACCTCTTTCCCCCTGAGAAAGTGCATGACTGGAGGAATGCTGGAAGCCCAAAAGCACAAGGCCCAACGCATACCGGGATAAAGGAAGTACCGCCTTTATGGGAAAGAAAGGGGTTGCATTGGAAAGCTTCTAGAGTCCTGGCAGTACTCTCTGTCTTGACCTGGGTGGCAGTTATATTTATAATGCTAAACATTTATTTTATACAGTTTTCTGTATTTGTGTTATATTTCCCAGTAAATAATTAATGGGGTGTGTGTGTGTGTGTGTGTGTGTGTGTGCATAATTTCTGGTATTGCAGTTTATGGTATCCCTATAGACAAATCAGCTCTGAGAGGTTGTCTTAGGAGCACAGATACCTTGGGCAGTTAAAATGCTTCAAGGTGTGAGCATCTAAAGAAGTGATAGACAGGGTGCTGGAAAGGCAATCACTCTCCCTTCTGGTTCTCCACCCTGTGTGGGGCCAAGATACTGGGGTAACCACACATGGGTTCAGGCAGAGCAAATGAGTCATGGGCCCTTGTCCTCTTGCTTAGCCACTGCAAGTGCCTCAGAGGAAAATTCCTTCCCCCCCCCCTTAGCCAAGACTATAAATACTGTGTTTATCAAACCGAAATTACAGGAGGCTGTTCCCATCCTGGTAGAAGCGAAAGGAGACCAACTCCCGGTTATCCTGTTTGGAAAGGAGTTCGAGGAAGACATCTCTTCCCCCTCGGGTGGCCCCATAGGCTCATTAAATTGTTTGCTGGGCCTCTATTATGTGCCAGGCACAATTCTTATTTTTCTGCTTCCCCTTTTAAAACAGCCATTTACTTTTGATTTTTTTTATTCTTGATAGGAAAAACACTGTCCTTTTACAAAGATTCACATTACCAGTTCTCAAGAGGATATTCATGTGCCCCATGTGGTTTAAATATCAGGTTTTCTAAGAATATATATCCCAACTATAGCCTATAAATACATACACATACATACATACACACCATCTCAAAACAGCCTTACAGCTGCAAGATGTTGAACGAGAAGTGAAAAATTGGCCAGTTCTAACTCACCGAAAGCTGAGTCCATGTTTTTCCCAAAAAATCAAATTCTGGGCTTTGCATCTAAGCTATTTAAAAGCCACATTTCCAAAACACCAGTTTTTCTCCTTTTCTGGAAGCAAGAAAAGCATATGGCTCCGGTGACCTTCACAAGCTGCTGGTGAGAGCAGGGTCAGGCACATCTGGTGGCTACAAAGTGATAAAAGCAGCCACATATTAAGCTGGTTTAGAGGGGAATGGTGAGGCCACAGAGATGGGAGAATAGAAAATAATAAATGAATGACAAGACCAAAACTTACAGGCAAGGAAGTTTCACTCCCACCTCTACCATCCATAAAAAATACCTGGCAAACGTTCACCCATCTCTCGAGATTCCACCCAAGGTAGACTTTCTTCCTTTGTGCCCTCACCGGACCCACTGCACATTTGACCAGAAATGATGTAACATTTTATTGTGATGTATTTCTTTGTTTGTTAGTGAGACTGTGGGCTCCTTGAGGACAGGACTATATTTTATGTGTCTTTGAGGTTCCAACTAATGCACAGTAAGAACCCCATCAATGCCTTCTTTGGTTGCATGAATGAACGGATGATGGATTCCTTTCACGAGACTATGAATTTGGCTTTTCCAACTGCTATGATGCAATCCTTAAATGATGAAAAGCATCTCAATTTTTTTCAGAGTTTACCGACCTTTCCACCTCTATCTCCTATTTTCAGATTCAGTAAGCTGTAAGATCCTTAACTTCAGACACTGGCAAACATCACATGTTCTTCAAGTAGAGTTATGAAAACAAAGAAACTGGTCAGGAGACTACAAACAGTGGAACTGTCCTTTCTGAGATCCAGAGCTTCAACATTCCTTGGGGGAAAATGTGGACAAGGGTGAGTACTGACAGAAAAAAAACAACAACAACATACAATTTGTGTTCCCCTTTTTCCAGTTTGCTCAGCCTAAATCCTCTGCAATAATAATACAAGTAGTGTTTTATTGTCATGCAGGGATGCAAGGATTTGGGGTTGCAGCTAACATTTGAGGGAAATACTGTTGAGTTTAGACTGCCAGATTTTGCTCTGTTAGGTGAATTTTTTACATGGATACACATTTAGAAGTCTCTGGGGAAACAGTCTTCTGGGAGGCAGACGGCTTATTCCGCTTAACATAACAGTGCCCATGCAAGCCTGGAAGTTATACTCACTGAACTATTCATGCAGAAACTGATCGCCCAGGTTTGGGAATAGCCAAGTCTTTCTGTTTGCCAGTCACCTTCAAACCATTCAGTTTCCATTTGGTTGTTCCTCAAGAAAATCAAGTTGGCCTGGGGGTAGAGTGTAGGATTAAAGTAATCAATTTTTCTATCCAACCAAGGCTTCCTAAAGGTTTTATGAAAATTCAGTAGACGAAGTGATATGTAGTTTTACCTATTAGTTGGACTCTAAAGGAGGCAGGCGTCATCACTTGGAATGGTGGCATTGAGGGTCACGAAGACCTGAATTTCAGTCCCTGCTTTTCTGTTTAGCAGTAGAGTTGAGCTGAGTCAGTTACCTGACCCCTTTGAATCTCTGTTTCTGCATTTATTAAATGGTGACAGGAAGATTGTTCAGAGGATTAAATTAGAAAACTCATACAGAATAACTCGTGCACACACACAAACACACACACACACACACACACACACACACAAGTGAATTCCCTTATCTGTTGAGATCCATCAACTGTTTTCTGTATATCAGAGAATCAACCGTCAACTGCACACAGATGAAAAAGCTCTGGGGGCCACGTCAAGCTGAGGACAGCCCCACCGCCTTTCTGGGGAAAGGCTCCAAGTTAAATATAGCAAGAAATCTTTTCTTAAAATGCTTTGATAAGTAACAAAAGAATTTCCCTGGAAGGGATTAAAAACAAATTTGATTGTCTTTTCATGGTGATGTTTTAAGATCAGGTTAATGACCTCTTAAAAATCCTCCCTGGTACTAGATTCTATGGCAACTGTCTGCCACAGAACTGGATACTTCAGAGACTTCCACCAAACCAAATTATTAATCCAAACTGGAACAAACTATATTTATTTGTGAATCCTCAAGCCATTCAATATAAATACTAATTTCTCTATGAATAGTGAAACAAAAAATGTCTCTCTTCTCATTTTTTTATAACTACTCAGCCAGCATTATTAAACTAAGACAAAAACAAAGAGAGACAGGGAGAAAAACATTCCCTGAAGCAAGTCAGTATTTCATTCCAGCTGCATCTCTGCGATTAACATTAGCTCTGTGGTATTTCCAATACATGTTGATTCTCAATTTTTGGAAATCTAGGCCTAAAAACCATATAATTTCACTACCTAAAATTTTTAACTTGCTTTAGATTGATCTATATTGAGTCACAAGGCCCTTTGAGGTCCTTAATTCCATGACTTCTGGGTGATTATTTTCCCCATTATTAAACTTTATTTTAACTTTTCATGCACAACAGATACACACAGACACACAAACACATCACTTCATACTACACATACGTATATTCCTACTGCTCTTTTTCAGGTAAGGTACTGGTTAAAAATATGGACTGAGGTAGGGCATGGTGGCTCACGCCTGTAATACCAGCACTTTGGGAGGTCGATGTAGGCAGATTACTTGAGGTCAGGAAATCAAGACCAGCCTGGCCAATTTGGTGAAACCCCATTTCTACTAAAAATACAAAAATTAGCTGGGCATGGTGGTGCATGCCTGCAGTCCCAGCTACTTGGGAAGCTGAGCCACAAGAATTGCTTGAACCCCAGATGCAGAGGCTACAGTGAGCTGTGATTGCACCACTGCACTCCAGCCTGGGTGACAAAGCAAGATTCTGTCTCCAAAAAAAAGAAAAGAAAATTATGGACTGGAAGCTGTACTGCCTGATTTGAATCCCAGCCCTGCCTCTATCAAGTAATAGGGCCTTAGACAAGCTATTAACCCTCTTTGTGCCTCAGTTTCTTCCTCCACAAAATGAGAATGAGAATACTACCTACCTCAAAGGGTCTGTGATGATTAAACATGCAAGTTGCTTCTAATTCTGTTTGGTACATACTAAGCCCTCCATAGCAGCTTCCTGAGTTTTGCAGCACATAAAAAGTGAAGTCAGTGCAGCGAAAAGAAATCATTGATGGGGGAAGACGACAGACACAGAGCGTAAGGAAAGGCCTTGTGGGAGAACGGACCCCGGGAATCGGGTCCGGCTCGCCTTGGTTGCTCACCTGAGCTTCCTTAAGCTGTGATTTTTCTGGGTCCAGAGGTGACAATGAAGACACCCTGAGTGAGGACGTGGCCAAAAAAAAAGTCATCGGGGAATGCTGTGCTAAACTCATAAATACTCTTAAAAGTAAACCCCTTATGCAAAGCCTCGGCAAATAAAAGCAAGCCCTGAGGGAACTGTGCTAATACATGTGTGGAGGCGGAGAGGTCTCCTCACACCTGGAGAGGCTCCCAGGCTGCAGAGAGGTGGGCACCCTGCAGCATTCTTTTCCTAGGATGGTTCTGTTTTATTTCATTTCCAAAGAGCTGATAGTTAAACATTTACCAGTGCTCTATTGGAGACAATAAATGATAAAGGGGCTGGCTCAGAAAAAAAACAAAACCTGAAAAAAAGTAAACTGCAAGCTTTTTTTTCACCTTTGCATCAGGGCAGGAAGCTGGAATTCGGGCATTTTATCTAAAGAAAAAAAGGCAAATCAGCTGGGGGCGGTGGCTCACGGCTGTAATCCCAGCACATTGGGAGGCAGAGGTGGCCAGATCACCTGAGGTCAGGAGTTCGAGACCAGCCTGGACAACATAGTGAAACCCCATCTCTACAAAAAATACAAAATTAGTTGGGCATGGTGGCACATGCCTGTAATCCCAACTACTTGGGAGCCTGAGGCAGAAGAATCACTTGAACTCGGGAGGCGGAAGTTGCAGTGAGCTGAGAATGTGCTGTTGCACTCCAGCCTGGGCAAAAGAGTGGAGAGAGAGAGAGAGAGAGAGAGAGAGAGAGAGAGAGAGAGAGAAAGAAGAAAGCCAAACCAAATCTTTGCTTCACAGAGGGTCAAAAAGTGTTGACTGATAGAATTTGAAAATTTTCAGGTCAGAGGCAGTGATTCACACCTGTAATCCCAGCACTTTGGGAGGCCAAGGCAGTTGGATCACCTGAGGTCAGGAGTTCGAGACCTGACTGTGCAAAATGATGAAACATAGTCTCTACTAAAAATACAAAAATTAGCCAGACATACTGGCATGCGCCTGTAATCCCAGCTACTTGAAAGGCTGAGGCAGGAGAATTGCTTGAATCCGGGAGGTGAAGGTTGCAGTGAGCTGAGATCACACCACTGCACTCCAGCCTGGGTGATAAAGCAAGACTCCATTCAAAAAATAAAATAAAATAAAATAAAATAAAAAATAAAAAAAAATTGCCATTCTTTCCTACTAAATACAAGTTCTGCAAGTTCATTGCAGGTCCAAGGGACTGATCCACGCCATACATTTACATCTGCCTCAGGTTTGTCATAAATGCCGTAAACAGAGAGATGTGATGAAGATGGGTAATCCATACTCTTTATCACCTCTCTAAAAACGTGATTATCCTGACATATTGTAGGGAATATAAAAACACTATCTAGTGATAGTGATAGAGAATTATAGAGATAGATAATGATAGAGAATTATCATCCTACTTCATTATACCTAAAAGACAATTTAACCTGTTCAGATTTCCGAGTTGTTCCTTAAGTGTAAAAATGAAAGAATCAGGATCAAAATGAACGTCTAAATCCGCCTATTGTATCCGCTTTGGCTGCCATTACAAGGTATCACAGAGCGGGGGCTTAGACAACAGAAATGTATTCTCTCACAGTTCTGGAGTCTGGAACTCCAAGATAAGGCGTCGGCAGGGTTGATACTCCCGAAGCCTCTCTCCCTGGCTTGTAGATGGCCATCTTCTCCCTGTGTGGTCTTCTTCCCTCTGTGGGTGTCTGTGCCTCGTCTCCTCTTCTTATAAGGACTCCTGTCATATTGGATTAGGGCCCACCCATGTGACCTCATTTTAACTTAATTACCTCTGTGAGGGCCCTATCTCTAAATACAGTCACATTCAGAGTTCCTGGGTCTTAGAGTTTCAACATAAATTTGGGGTGGGAGCCGCAATTCAGTCCATCACACTGCCTAAAGTGAGTGTAATGTGTCCACAGGGACAGTTTGATTGAACAACACCACAGGTTGCATTCCCAGAGAAGCAAATTTTGAGATGGAGATTGGCAGGCCAGAAGTTTGTAGGGAGTGCTCTTGGGAACCTGTCAAGGCAGCAGAGGAAGCAGGATTAGACAGAGGGAGAACCTGAAAGGAGCATAAAGGCTCAGAGGCCCTCTGAAGTTGGGATGGTCCTTCCGAGTTATCTGGAACTGAGGCAAGGTGGTGGAAGTTTATGCCCCTGCCAGGACAGTCACTGCAAGTGGGCTGGCCCACGGAGGAGGCATGCTGTGCCTCAGCTGGGGACAATCTCAAGAGGGTACTCCACAGCGAACTGCCAGGTGTCAACCCTTCCATAGCTGACAGAATGATTGACTACTCAGCCTGAAGTGGGGTCTCAGGTCATGGACCCCAGCGCCCACTATGAATCTGAAATTTACTCTCCTTAAGTGAATGGAAGGACTTAGCATTATCTTCTTAAGAAATTTCTCACACCCTACAGAATGGGAGAAAATATTTGCAAACCATCCATCTGATAATGGGTTCATGGCCAGAAAAATATAAGGCACTCATACAATTCAAAACCAAGAAAACATAACCTGGCTAAAAAAAATGGGCAGGGAACCTGAACAGACATTTGTCAAAAGAAGACATAAAATGGTCACGGGTACATGCAAAGGTGTGCA